ATACAGACTTTAAATTTAAAAAAAATATCTCAGACAAACTATGGAAAAATGACTTTTTAAAGATATTACGACAATTGGACATCTAAATTGAAAACTGAAAGGGAGACACTCTTCTGAAAAATTAAGTGGGAGAATTTATTCAGAATTTCAAAGTAGGAAAATATTTCTTAAGACTTAAAGAAGTTTTTTTTTTTAACAGCATAAGCTAAGTATTTAATTTCAAAGTCATGAGGGCCACAAAAGTTTGCACATCAATTACAAGATATGGCTGCTAAGCAGAATTTGACTGTCTGGGCAAGTATGTAAAAAAGAGAAAGAGTTGGAAAGAACAAAAACACCCAAATAACTACAGTTTCAACCCAGTTCCAAAGACAGAGCATGGCACATGATGTGCCATCGAAGCAGGGACACTTACACCACGGAGCTTTAAAAAAGAAGCACCAACCATAAAGGAAAATTTGTGTTATACTAAAATAGTTTATTTAAAAGACACTGTGAAGAAAGTAAAGTGCAAGCTGCATAGTGAGATAAACCATTCAGATACCACTATTAAAATTCAAAAGTTTACAAGAATAAGACATACAGAATTTGTGCAAAGTTAATAAGAATAAGACATAAGCCCCAAAATTATAAACAGTAAATCCACTGAAGAAGAAATTAAAGTCACTAAATATATACAAAGTGCAAATGACATTGGTGCAGTCACAGCTACCTAATTGCACTTAAAGCCTACTCAGTGGGAGGAAACTCATGTCTGGCACTGTAAATTTAGAAAATCCGCATAGCTGGAGAGGTCATAGAGCTTAGAGAAAACCCCAAGGCTCTTCTATCCCTAGGCAAATTTAATTTCTTACTATGTGCAAAATATGGATCCTTAAATTTACAGACAAGTATCCCAATCACCACCCATCAAAATAGCTTCATTTTCAACAGACAGAGATTATTACAGAGTTACACCACTGGTCACACACAGAGATTCTCTGTGAATTGCCGGAGCCGAAGTGGCACATCTAGGATGCAACCTCTATCCCTAAGACTCAAAGAACATAGAACAAGGGATGAAAGAGAACAGTAATGCATCTTTCAGTTCTCATCAATGAAGCTCCCTCATGCAACAGAGGGCCAGGAGCACAAAAGGCCACAGATGGCCAAAACACAGATTAAGAGTCAGCAGAGTGTGGGTCCTTGGACAGGACTTCTATATTGAGGTCCACCTACTCAAGGCTCAGGGACCATTGTGGAAGAGAGGGTGGAAAGATTATAAGAGCCAGGGAGGAGGTGCATGACCATATGGAAATAGTCCTACAGCTACTTGGGACCCTGCTCATACAAACCTACATCAATGGCATCAGCATGCACAAGACCCATGCAAACTTAGGCAGACAAAAACCCAGCACAGAACTGTGGGATTGAACAGCAAGCCCCAATCTTAGTTGAAGAATTATTGGCAGATGATTACTACTGGTTGAGGAAGAGCTGACCTTCTTGAAAGGAGGGACTCTAGACAGGCTGACTAAATCCCAGTGGATGAACTTGCACTGAGGGACATCTTGGGACACTAACTTTACATAATAAGTCTTAAGCTTTAATACAAATGACAGAATGTATGAACTCCAGTGGGAGGCTATGGGAGGTGCCAAAGAAGGGAAAGGGGTTTAAAGATGATCTTGTGCATGAGATACACAAAAATTCAATAAAAATGTTTAAAAAGAGAGAAGACTTCGAAAAGGGATGAGAAAGGAAAATAGAGAGTAGTTTTCTTGATAGAGATGACAGATTTATAGTTTAAGTAAACATTAAAAAGTACATATATTTTATTGAATACAATTCATAAATGAAATAAAAATATTAAAGACAGACAATGGTAGAGTAAGGGAATTGTGAGCAGTTTTCTGAGGACATCCTGGGGAAACATCTTTAGTAATCACTGAAGAAGTGGCTGCAACAGGTAGGTGAGTATTTATGGTCCCTTCATCATTACTTTGAAATTCCCAATGTGCTATTACTAAGAAGTGGGACTTTTGGAACATGATTAGGTCATGAGGCTGGAGCCCTCATGAGTGGGATGAATGATATGATAAAAAAAAGACCTAAGGGAGCTTGTCTGTCTTTCCATCATGAGAGGTCACTGTCACAAGGAACCATCTATGAAGAGGACCCTCACTAGACACTGAACCTGAATCTTAGATTTTCCAGCCTCCAAAATTTGAGCAATAAGTTTACATTGTTTGTAAATTACCTAACGTAAGGCAATAGCAGCTCAATAGACTAAGATGATTCAGACCATTTGATAGAGTAAAAACAAGCCACTATTTTCAGTTTATGTGCACACGTTTACTTTTTGAAATATAAAGAAATTTCTTAGATGGAAGGTGCTAGAATAAAACAGTGTTATAGCAAGTCATATTAAATTATGTGTGTACACACATTTGTATAACCCCCCCCCCTTTTGCTAGAGAGACATTTCCTTACTGTTAGAATCTAGGTAAACTCTGGCTAAATTCCAATTCCGGAGTGTGGCAGCTCAAGCTCCGTCATGACTGTTGGTCAAATTCATCCAATCTTCAGTGTTTTCCTTTGGAAGACAGTCATACTCTGAGTTCTTAAGCTCTGAAGCCTTTTAAAGTAAAAGAAAGTCATAATAAAGGAGGTCATCGTCCCTCCTTTGATTTCCTGCCCTCTCACTGGCTTCACTTCTCCAGCACCAGTGCTTGTCCACGCGCCTCATGGTCTGGTAGTCCCTTTAAAAGTGTGGGGTATAATTTGTCAGTGGCTTTGGACTAATATGATGCCTTCTGTTTTGTTTTGTTTTTTCTTTATTACAGTAGCTAGGTATTATTTACTTCTCCTCTTTCCCTGTCTAACTCTTCGTTCACACCCGCCCCTTTAAAGTGTCAGTGGGTAAGGGGGTTTAAAGATGATTAAGATGTTCTGTATGAAATATACAAAAATTCAATTAAAAATTTACAAAAAAAAGTGAAGGGTGGGGAAAGCTGACTCAGTGGTTAAGAGCCCTGGCTGCTCTTGCAGAAGACTGAGGTTTGGTTCCCAGCACTCACATGGCAGCGAATAACCATGAATAACTTCAGTTCCAGGGGATCCAAAACCCTCTCTGGCCCCCATGGGCATTGCAGGCAAAGGGGCATTTACAAGCTTGAA